TGCTAGAATGCGACTTAATGGAAGTATTTACAGCAATGTTATTATTCTTCACAATTCCTGTCACTTCTGCAGCAGCTGAAAGATCATTTAGCAAATTAAAAATAATAAAAAATTATTTAAGAAATAATATGGGCCAAACTCGACTCCGACATTTATCGCTAATAGCAATTGAAAACAAAACGGCATCAAGCCTGGATTTAAACGAAATCATTGATACTTTTGCGAAAACTAAAGCCAGGAAAAATTTGTAAATATAATTGTTATTTAGTCAGTTGGTAGTCCCGACCTTATATACTAAACCCTTGAATATCTATTTCGTTTTATTAGCCAAACCTACACCAAGTATTAATTGTAATTTATGTTGTTACTGTTTAATATTTTTATTACCTGCCCTGCAGTGCACAAAAAAGACCTTAAGTAGCTTAGCATTTTTAAAGTATTTGTATATTTCATATTTTTATTTGATAAAACCTAATCAGTTTACATACCAGTGGGGCCCCATTTTTTAATTTGCCCCAGGGCACTTGGTTACCAAGCTACACCACTGCTCAGGAGACATAGTTTTGACCGTAAAATTATATTTTAGGAAAATTTTCACACAAAATTATTATTTTAAAGTTAAGGTAAAAAAACAACCCCCTCATTTAACCCTGTATAATATGCCAAATACTAAAGTTTATAAAAAACTAAACTTAGGAATTAAAGCTGATATATATACAGCATGCTAAAAAATTCGTGAAAATAGGGCTAAAAATAACAAAAATATAACATTTTAAATATTTGACCAAAAATTCCTTCGTGGCGTTTTTTTTGTATCTGAGTGTAGATATATTCCTGTTACACTAAAAAAATAGTTACATTTTACAATGCAATAATTAAGCTTTCGACAGATAACATCCGAGAAATGACAGAAAATACAATCTACCTATTAACTAAAATGACAGACGACTATTGTCACTGTCATATTTTTTCTTGTTAGACTAGTGATGAGTAAATGCAAGACTCTTGCATTTTTTTTAATATATTTTTACTAGAGGCACTTTCTAAATCGAAAATATTTAACTAAATAGTATTTTAGTCCTGATTTTAGTAATTTAACGCAAATAAAACTTTAAAAAATTGGCGCCGGGAGGCACCTATATATGTAAGCCGCCCATACTAAAATATGTTAATAAAAAGTTGGTAGGCAGTTCTTTTAGTTTCAAAGTAAAGGAATTTTTCCAATTTTTTTTTATCTCAAAAACTGCGACTGACTGATTTTGATGTTATTACAAATTTTGTTGCAAATATTATTCCTAATCTTAAATTGAAAACCGCGTTTCGCTAGCTACTGTAATTTTGGAGTTACGATTTTTTAAAATGTTTAACCCCCTCCCATGCCCCCTTACCAACCCCCCACCCCCACCAAAAACTAATGGCCAGATTCTCTGGTGCCACACACACTAAAAAGCAAGCAGCTTTAAAATGTCTTGCCTTTTGTGCAAAACCAAGACCAAGACCACTCTCGTTTATCACTAATAGAAATCCAGATTCACGAGCCTGCAGCAGATACACTTGCACTGAGTGAATATTCTAGGTTTACTTATTTTACTGGTAAAATTAGCGAGCGACTAAATTTCAATTAAATTTTTTATCAAACAAAAAGAGCCTTAATATCGGTCAGTGTTTGCTTAAATTTGCTTTTTAAGAACTGTTTTTAACGAAGGGGCGGTCCTGGAGGGTTTTCGCTCGCAGACACACCGAAGTCTTTCCGAGAACGATTTCCTGCTTGAGGAAGGCGGCAGCTTGTCCGTTCTCGGACGGACAGCAGGACTCGGAATAATAAAGGCCGAGGTGAAGTCAATTGGCGAGTGGAGCTGGGGGAAGCCCTTCGTCCGCGAGTGGCAACTGCTAATTAATACTGGTAGTTCGTGCGAACTGCAACAACTCAGAGTGATAGATGAAAATTGCATTGAATATAAAAACTTTAGAGTGCGAAATAAGCGAGACCATGAAGGAGTTTCAATATAGATGACTTATATTCTAGTTTATTAGTGGTATTCGATTTTTTAAAATTTTATAATATACCGGATGTTTTAAAAAATATGTGTCATCATGCGTAAGGAGATCCTATTTTGTTTGGTAGCTATGAAGGGTTAAAGTCTTAATTTTTTCTTCCAAGTGCTTTTAGTCATTCGATTGAAATTTTGAGGGAAAGGGTTATCACTTGAATATTTTTCTAAAAAATGCATGTACGTCACTGACTTTTTTTCTCTTGTTAGCGAAATAATGTAAGCAGTTTAGTGCAGATTAAAAGTTGTCTCTTGATATTTTGTCGATTTCGGTCTCCTTGGTGAGATAAACGCAATTTTATTAATTTGCCTTAATCCAAGTCTGAGAGCAACCTTTAAAATTTTTAATGTCATTAACTGTCCAAAGTATTAAATAAGTACCTATCCATTGATTTCTCATCAAAAAAAATATAAAAAATGTTAACTTAACTTTAAACATGGGTGTTGAAATGAATAATTTTAAAGTTATAGGATGTTAAAACTCTTAAAAAATAGGTCTTCTCTTCTGTAACTATCTTAAATACCGCAATTTTTTTTTAATTTGCCATAGATAGAACTGAACATTAATGTTATAACTTTTAATAAGATTTAATAATAAACTAGATTAAGTAAATAATTTATTAATTCGATTTTAATTTTAATTTTATTAATTCTGATTAATAAAATTGCGTTTATCTCATCAAGGAGATCGAAATCGACAGAATATGAAGAAATAAATTTTAATCGGTATTAAACGGCCTATACAATTTTGCTAACAAGAGAAAAAAGTCTAACACAGGGGTTTAAGATTGGTCCTTGGTACCTTTCATAGTCCTGTGAACAGTTTATACTGTGAATCAGAGTGCCATTCCCCAGCCCCATGACAGGAAATGATAATGCTGGTGAAATATTCCATCAGCCTGAAATTCAAACCCAACCTTTCACGCTATAAGAAGTTCTTGCCTAATATCCCACGCTGATACAACAAAATATTAAATAAACAGGATCATGTCTTAGATATCATAAAATTTGGGATCGTCTCTCCCTTAAGTATCACCCCTCATATGCAACGAATACGAATACATCTTCTGTGGGTTGGATTTAAACTTATTCCGTTTTACGAAAGATCAATTTAGTAACTGAGGCATCCAGAAATTATTTTTATAAATCAAAAACTCAAATTATCCTCAACATTGTGTTATCTATACTGATGGATCTAAGAGCTCAAATAATGCTAGATCGGCATTTACGTACTTCCACTTTGAACGCTCATTTAAGTTTCTCACAACAGGAGTTTTATCAGCTGAATTATTGGCTATCTCTAAAAAAGACTGAAAAAAGAAATTGGCTAATTGCTACTGACTCTATGTATCCGCAATACAATTTATACAATAAATTCGTTCCAACTCCTTCACCCTTTGGGTGCACTGATAAAAAAGATAGACTTGAACTAAAGTCGTCATCGTTCTTGAAAAAAAAATTTAGTGGCAAGAGAATTTATTTTAGCGCAAAAGAAAATATTTTGCCTGAAGAAAAACTCTATTAACTCAAGGAAACTGGTTCTCTTGAAAAATTCGAAAATTTCTCTTGAATCTATTTTCATTCAACCAAGTGCAAGTCACTTTGTTTTAAGATAATAACAAAAATACGCTAGGAAGTACTTCATTCAAGAAACACGGCCATTTTTCCAATAGCTAAATACTCTTTTGATGAAAAATAATAACGACACGCAAAGACGATGACGAAGGGCGGTATATATTCAATCAGTCGGCAGTCCAATCAGTCGTACGTCGCATTTCATAGATCGCACAGATAGTACGCACGGGTTTTGTTGCTTGGAATCACTGCACTTGGAATTTTGCATAATTTGCTTTTTAAACGCATATCGTATAGCAAATTAGTGATCGTTATTAACATGCATTTGTTATTTTTTATGGACAAATTTTAGGATATTTTATTATATATATAGATAGGATTCTTTAAAGGAGTTTCTGAAAAAATGGAAATTAGAGCATTTATTTGCTATATTTGAAGGTAAGAGACATTTACCTAATGCAACTGTTTAGATAATGCATGCGTGACTATAGAATAAGAATATAGGTATCGATTTTTTTATGCAAATAATTACAAAAATTTTAGAATTTCAAGTCGTCGTATTAAAAAATTCAAAATGTGACCGAAGCTTATAATTTTAATAATTTATTTGCTTTACTTTGATTAATCGTGATTTAACATTTTTTTTGTAATTTGTAGAATGACGAACCACCCCAAAAAATACCAAGGAGTGAAGAAGCAGAAATAACCTAAATTTATCAGAAAATAATATACCTCGTATCTAATATTCCTGTATATGATGTATAGACTTCCCTTATATCAAAATAAATTTTAGCTGAGTCAATAGTATTGGCTATTGGTTTAACAAAAGTGTTTCTTTAATCAAGAAATGTCCCTTTTCAATCAAGAATTTTTGCATGAATCAAAGAGATTATTATTGTTCTTGTAGTAAGAACTTCTATGCATATTCATTTTGGGTCAAGAGTGAAATACTTTGGACAGATAGATTCTTCTATTCTCTAAAGTAATTTTTTAAAGCTTATGAAAAGATAGTTAATGCTTTGGGCAAAGAAAGGTCGTTCTTGGCCCTATTGAAAAGCGCCAATCTTTTGGGTCAAAGTCATATTCATTTCGACTGAGAGATCCCTTTTTTCAGTGTGTACAAATTAATGAAAAATTATACAGGATAACATTATAGGCATTCTTAGTTCGTTTGATGTGAAAAAAAGCTGACCACTTTACAAGAAATACAACGAACAGTCTTTCTACTAACCAGACCTTTGGGAAAGACGATTTGAACGGAGACAATTATTCAAAAGTCTGGATCAACTGGGATGTTATCTAAATGACGTTGGTATTGATATTGCTATACAACTTCTTAAATACATTTTGTACAAAATAAAAGAGGAAACTTACCACCCATGTGTCCGTTCTCGTAAGGGTAGTCGCCGTTGTCCATTCGCTGTTTCTTGAGCTGGTGTTGTTGCAGATGAGAGGCGGCCAGACTGAGTCCTACTGGGGCTCTTTTGGGCGGTCTTCCGGGCCTGGAACTGCAAAATGGTAGAGAATTACCGTTGTTAGGAACGGGCAGATAAAAACTACATAACCCGCATTCATAAACATATAGCCTCCCATGCACCAGAAGATTCCCAGGCCAAATCTTCTGGTGTATGAGGGGATTGCAAATATTTCTCTAATAATATTTTGACAAAATTCAAACTAGTTATTCCTATAATCCCCTACCTATATTTATTTAAATAAATAGTAATAGATAATGTTTGTTTTTAACGCTGTTTTTAATACCTGTGACATACAGCACAAATTAGCAGAGCCAATCAAACAGTAATGTCTGAAAAAAACACTAGAGGGGCCTACAATAGTTAGTTAACTATTGGCACAAATATATTATTGATAAAACAATTCCATGAATACATTGTGGACGAATACATATTTATATATACTATATTTAAAAATCATAGAAAATAGGGTTACTATAGCTAAAATTTTTTGTTTCTATTATATCGACATTTTTTGATTAGTCAAAACATCTCTAAGACTACCTGATGGTACGGTACGACTTGTATTTTTATAACGTAGCCTAATTTTGTAGGGTGCTTATCTAGTTTCCTGGGTAATCCACCTGCTTCTTTCTGTAGGTAAATATAGTAAAGTAACCTGTGTGATAATGTTTTTCTAACGTATTTAGAAGTATAGTGAAAAACAGTAGTCGTTTGTGGCCAAATACAAATCGTGGATAAGCATTGGTAAAATCATGAATTAAACATTTATAAATTTGAAATTTGGTTTGGTTTGGTTGGTAATAAGATATTTGAATGTCCGGAGTGCGGAAGAGAGATAACATCACGTATCGGGGTTTTCAGTCACAGAAAAGTTCATGAAAGAAAACGCCTTGCGTAACCATCTTCTGATGCGTGTCCAATACTAGTCAACGAGTAATGGCAGTAAGTAAGTAAGTTTTGCTTAAGAGTCCATTTCACTAGTCCGAAAAAGTAGCAAAATAGGCGTTCGGCATTTAACGTTTTATGTAAAACTGACTAGGTATTTTTACACAAACGAAGAAGGAAATTAGATAAAGGATTAAACTATATCCGTATTGTAGCACATTTTCAGACAACTTCTCTAATTTTAAGATTTTGATGGTCAAACATTAAAAAAATATATTCCTTATGTTTAGACTAAATTTTCTCGAAAATAAAGACATAATTTAAAATTCCGTTACAATACGGAAATATATTGAAGTTTTGTGATTACAGTGATATATAATTTATATGGTTTTGTAACAAATTGCTCGCTATTTTATGGCAAGTGCTGACGCTCTGCAAACCTTAATCAAACCTTAATCAAAGCACGTCTGTTTGGTATTTTGGATGTGGCTTAATACGACAGGATCGGGCTAAGCCTTAGGCAAAGCCTTGGGTAGATTTCTTAAATATAATATATATTTCCTTCGGCTACACACCCGCTTTACCCGACCCGTGAAAGCGACCCGAACAGTACAGCGTAATAAACTGTTAATAATTTTTAATTAGATATACAGTACGTCTGCTGGATCTGTGTCTATGAAAGAAATGCGGACAAAAATATTTAAATAAACAGGAATATATTTTATACGTCGACTTGACGAGTACGACACCGCAAATCTCTCCGCCCACTCATTTTATTGGCTACTTGCAAATTTGTCGAATTTTTATTGATGGGACGCATCGTCTAATTTTTTACAAAAAAACATCGAGAGAATATCGTTTCCCCTCTCACGGATACCCCGTAGCTACAGAATGGACAGACGTACTGTAAAACTAGTGTAATGTTGCTTTAATAAATGAATTTGCACAGTTTTTTTTGCTTTATTTGACATATTTTATGTTCAAATAATTTCGTTTTTCCTAATTTTCTCGCAAGTTAAACCTCTTGACACTTGGACTCTTTGGGAATACCTTCAATTGGAAAAAATAAACGTAAACATTCCAAACCGCCTGGTTTTCGAACGAAACAGTAAAAAAGTAAGATGAAGAGTAATAATAAAAGAAAAACGCTCACTGCAATAATGACCCCTCCTTATTTCGAATGCGATTGGTGTAGGGCAGTCAATCATTGCCCAGACCTATCATTAGGCCGTCCGGCAATTTAGTCGTGAGCGGCGAGCCGAGCCGGGCCCTATCGTGCCGCCACTTTTCTCGAGGAAAATAAATACCTCAAGTTTGAAATTTCATAAAACGAACGGTCAAAGTTGCAGCAAGGGGGGGAGGGGGAAGCGTGGTCATCGCGTATATAAATATCCAGACGCGAAGTCGGGCAAATTGCGGCCATTTTCGTCGTAATACCGGCGGTATTTCGGCAATAGGTTTGGTCGGACCGTCAGGTCATGCAACGTATTGATGGAAATAACATACTTTGCTACACGGTCTGGCTTTATCGACACTGAAATAGAGAGAATCGACATTTTGAGGTTCTAAATAAATTTCATAACTTTGGATTGGTTTACAGCTCTTCACATACCACAGGGTGCGTCTCAAAAGTGACTCACCCCTATAACTTTTTTATTTTTTCAGATAAAAAAAACGAGATTTGGTATGTTAGTATATAACATAAATTAGGATTGATTGACGTATTCAATTGTTTTTTGTCACTTCCTGTTTCACCGGAAATGTCTTGATTTTTAAATGACACCCTCGGTATATTTTAACTTTATACGATAGAAAACCTAACCTAACCTAACCCTCTGAATAGAATGACATATCATATGTTGACATTTTCACTTAAAGAAATCGTATTTTCAATGTCAATCTAGAGTGCCACGGCTGTGTTAAAACTACTTATTTTTAATCAAGGAGCCTTGGAAAAATAGATTTGATCGTCTAAGGTTTTTCGTGTCTTATCCTGGAAGGTTAAAAGATGCCCAAATCGTTTTTTTAATCATATCTCAAAATCATTTTCAAATGAAACAAGGGTGGTTCATTAGCATATTTGGAAAAAGCATTTTTTACGAATAATTTGACACCACACATATCTAATTAAAATGTCGTTATGAACCGCATGTTACAATTTCAAATAAACCATATGCGAAAATGTCAAAAGTTGACCTATGATATGTCAAGTGTCATCTAAAAATCAAATGTTGTAGTTATGTCCGGTGAAATAGGAAGTGACCGAAAACAAATGAATACGTGAATCAATCCTAATTTATATCATATAGGTACGTTAGTATAATAGACAGATCAGGACTTAAAAGTCAAATAATTTAGGTACACAATGTTTAAGAAAATGCAAACTTTAAAATCGGTTCACTAGAACAAAATATATCGAACTTTAAAATACATGAAAATGAGAACGGTCAAAGAACCGAATCAATAATTAAATTAAAAACTAGACTACAATGTATTATAAAAGTATTCCCTTTTAAAGAAATATATCTCAGCTCCTGGACAAAGCTCTCCGCACACTCCCCAACAGATATTACCAATTAACTCAGAAACCTCCAGATTTATAACCTTGGACTGAGATTTACTTTTACGTTGTGCAGCCACAGATAACAAACGCTACCCTCTTCTATCTCGCTTCCTCCCGCACTTATCCACAGAGGCGTAAATCACGCGGCTAGTCCATTGCCGCCAAAACGGTCGGAAATAAAAAATAAAACCCCGACGACTTAACCTGATTTAGCGGCCATATTTCTCTCGCCTGCCCCTCTGGCTCTTTTACGCTCCGCACTACCCTTAGTCCTTCCTGTTGGACCACTTCGGGAAATCGTATAAAACCCAATTACGTCGGCCGCTTCCTTTATTGCTGGTGTACGAGTGCCCATATCGCGCCTCTATGTGTCCAGCACTTTATTAAATGTAGGACGGTATAGGGATGTCTTAATGTATCGACAATTTTAAGTCAAATCGATATTAGAGGAAGGAATATAATACTACTTTTTATTCACGTTTTAGAGTCGGAATCGATGTTTTATTTGACACATTTGGATTTTCTGTTATTTCTCGTTTATTTTATAATTACTGGTTTTATGAAAAGTTAACAAATTTGGAAAAGCATTGTGCCAGAACCAGGGCCGGCGGAAGGGCCGGGTAACCTGGGAAGACGCCCGGGGCGCCGGGTGCGAGGGGCGCCACGACAACGACTAAAATATTTAAAAACAGTAACTTAAACAAATAGTAAAGAATAACCAGATCAATAATTAATCGGTACTATCAATTTCCACGTTAAAATATTAGCAAATACCACACCATATATGTAAAAATATCTGACTAATTATTATAAACACTACTATATCCTAGGCCTATCCTATTACAGTTTATTGAAATTATGCTAAAAAAATCCTTAGCACCAAAGTTTTGGGATAGTTTTGATTTCTCCTATTTTATATGTTTTTTAGGTGCTCTATTCAAAACTGGAATTTGCGAATTAATTTTCGTGGAAGAATCTTAAACAAAATAGAATAAAAAATTATAAATCTGATTTGTTCGTGGTATTTTACTTATAACTCAAAAGTTATCAACTTTTTGTAAATAATTGTTTTTATAAATTTTCTCTAAACAAACTGTGTTGGGTCAAGAGCTAACACAATTAACAATTTTAGACTGACCGCTCAAAATCGCACTTTTTCTACTACCAATACCCTTTATTTGTTATTAATGGCTCTGATATGTCCTAAAATTATACGAGGCAAATATTTATTCGCAAGAAGCTAAAGAGGGTCCCGATATACTTATTATCAAAAAAAAAAATTATGTTTGCCTCATTAATTAAATTAATTTATTAACAGTACTTAGTGGGAAAATATATCAATCTTTTGGTGGTTTTGATTGTTCTGGATTGAATATGTAGTAATACACAGAAAATGGTAGCAGAATCGTAGAATTTTCTCATAAGAACAAAACAAGACAAAGAAATGCATCGCAAACACTGGCTGATCTTCATTTTGAAGCCGACAAAACTATATCTGATCATATACTGATTCTGCACGAAATAATTGATTGTGAAAAAGAAAAGAAAATGTTCTTAAATTCTTATAGAAAAATAATGCAAC